TAAAGCTGCTGGGCTGAGCTCTGCACAGAATCTAAACATAAGGAAGGTTCGAATAGGGCCTGGGGGAGATCGCTAAATTACTCAAACCTGCATGGATGACGTCAAAAACTCTTCAGGTACTTCTTTGTGGTGGATGAAGTATAAGTAAAAGTATAGATACAGGGGCAAAAAGTTACTCAGGTAAAAGTAAAAGTATCACATGAAAAAATCTACTAGTATTAAGTACTTAAAGTTTAAGTTTAAAGTACCGAAAGTTTAAAATTGTACTGCCCTCCCTCTTCATCTGAGATCCTCCCTACCTCACTTTAAAACCCTCCTAAAACCAATTTTCTTCAAGATGTTGCTCCACTGCCCATGAGCTCGACTTTAGACTATTATCTTTGTGTATTAAGTCACTTTTTTTATGTATGGTAATATATGTAGTACTTTGGTGCAACTTGTTACGGTTGTTTTAAATGTGCTATATAAATAAAATGACTTGAAGAAAATGACTTGACCAAAAAGTAAAAGTATTTTGCAGAGAGTTTTAGAACAAATGTAGTGATTCTGATAAAGAATCCAGCTGATTGATTTTAAAGGGCCCATCTCATGCAAAATAACTCTTTTCACATTGTATCTTCAAGCACAATTTGGGTTTTGGAACATCCATTACACAATAGTTATGAAATCTTATTGATTTCTTGGAGACAGTCACAGACCAGGAACTATGAAAGGCCGACTACTGTTCATCCTCCCGCCCGTCCTGAGAAAGCACAGGCTCCGCCCTCCAAACGTGACATAGGCTCTGAGTGAGCCGCCCTTCCTCCGCCATCTCAGGGAGGGAGGGGGAGACAGACGTGCACCCTGATAGTGGCAGGAATAAACTTTTATTCATCATGGCGATACAGCGCGTTCAGCCGCATGTGTTGGACCCGGAATCGGACGAGGACTTTGAGATGCACGAAGCTCAAGCACCACGTCGACATCAGCTGAACATTACTGATTGTAGATAAACTTATTATATCGTGTACACTGCAGATGGGGTGGAGGTGGGGCGGAGGCGGTGGAGCAGGGAGAGGGGCGGGTGCAAAGTGTTTTCTGCTTCTTCAAACGCGTCATAGGCGTATCTGCCGTGTCATTGTTGTAGCAGCTTTAGTTCGTTGTCACGTGGGAGGGTGGCAGAAATACGCTGCAGTTTGTTAAAAAAAATGCTGAATCAATCTAAAAACCAAGCAAAAGATGTTAATTTTGTCTTCTTATATACTTTAACTTCTTGGGTTCTTTTTAAAGACAATGCAGTAAAGTGTGTTTACCTTGTTGACATGTTTCGGCTGTTAGCTGCAAGCCATCTTCAGAACTGTCACCGGTGTTGGTGGTGACGTGTCGTATATCAGCTGTTGTTACTTCCTGTAGGCGTGGTCAGACCTGATGGACCTGCAGGTCGCTCAGACTGACCACGCCTCCCGTCGCCCGGTGTCTCTGGAGGAGGGTGTCCCAGGTGTGTGTGAAAGGAGGAACGCTCCGTCATCACGGTTAATGCTGTCCGTGCCTCGTTTCCTGATTTCAGTGGCCTCCTTGATCCAGCGTTTGAACTTGTTGTTTTCCGATCCAATGACCCGAGCCCCGTCCCGATCCAGAATGTGGTTGTTCCTTTTACAGTGTCTGATATGGTGGATTTTAGGTTTTCCTGTTCTGCTTTGTCTTTTTGTGTTCTGGTGAGTCTCCCTGACGTTTCCTTCTCGCATTCCTTTTGGTGTGCAGCCGAAACATGTCAACAAGGTAAACACACTTTACTGCATTGTCTTTAAAAAGAACCCAAGAAGTTAAAATCTAAAAACCACTTCGGTGACATATACAAGACCCACACATCACTCTTAGAAGGTAGAAAGCTCTGAAAAGTTGATTTTGCATGAGATGGACCCTTTAAGTGATTCAATTGATTTCTTAATTTTTAAGTGATTCAGTTGATTTTTCTAGCTGTTTTTGTGGTTTTGGTTTGCTCAAAGTTAGGACAGAAAGTAGAGATACATGTTCTCAAAAAAAGAAAAAGCATCCACTGTAAAATTTACTTAAGTAAAGTACAGATACCTAAAATTTGTTCTTAGGTATTGTACATTTACTTTTATACTTCGTTACTTTTCCACCATTGATGAGGGAACAACATTATAACATGGTTTTGCATAATAACCCCTCTTTAGAGAGATAAGATAGATAAATATTTATTCTGCAGCCTCAACAATGGAACCAAAATACTAAAGTAACAGTCCATCCTCTTGCGTTCATCTTTTATACCGATCTTTAAAAAGAACAAACAATACATACTTTCTGATTCGACTCGACTCGTTAAATCGTTTTATCGTACTGAGTTCAAAAGTCGTGTGTCGTGCGTCGTGTCCTGAGTGTGACCCAGCAGATTAGAGCGTGGGGCAGATGGAGCCTCGGGCGACTGGAGCGACACTCACAGCCTCCATATGGTCCTGTCTCCTCCACACAGCACCGGGACTAAACAGGGACTAAAGAGACCGGGAGCGCCATGCAGGACTATATCAAGACTAAAACAGGACTAAAGCAGGACTAAAAGAGCCTCCATATGGTCCTGTCTCCTCCACACAGCACGGGAACTAAACAGGGACTAAAGAGACTGAGCGCCATGCAGGACTAGAACAGGACTAAAACAGGACTAAAACAGAACTAAAGCAGGACTAAAAGAGCCTCCATATGGTCCTGTCTCCTCCACACAGCACCGGGACTAAACAGGGACTAAAGAGACCGTGAGCGCCATGCAGGACTAGAACAGGACTAAAAGGACTAAAACAGGACTAAAGCAGGACTAAAAGAGCCTCCATATGGTCCTGTCTCATCCACACAGCACCGGACTAAACAGGGACTAAAGAGACCGTGAGCGCCATGCAGGACTAGAACAGGACTAAAAGGACTAAAACAGGACTAAAGCAGGACTAAAGAGCCTCCATATGGTCCTGTCTCCTCCACACAGCACCGGGACTAAACAGGGACTAAAGGACCGTGAGCGCCATGCAGGACTAGAACAGGACTAAAACAGGACTAAAACAGGACTAAAGCAGGACTAAAAGAGCCTCCATATGGTCCTGTCTCATCCACACAGCACCGGGACTAAACAGGGACTAAAGAGACTAGTGCATGCAGGACTAGAACAGGACTAAAACAGGACTAAAGCAGACTAAAGGAGGACTATACCCGGACTATACCAGGACTAAAGCAGGACTATAAGGACTATACCAGGACTAAAGCTAAGGACTATACCAGGACTATACAGGACTAAAGCAGGACTATACAGGACTATACAGGACTATACCAGGACTAAAGCAGGACTATACCAGTAACAGGACTATACCAGGACTAACCAGCTATACCAGGACTATACAGGACTAAAGGACTATACCAGGACTAAACTAAAGCAGGACTATACCAGGACTATACCAGGACTAAAGCAGGACTAAAGCAGGACTATACCAGGACTAAAGCAGGACTATACCAGGACTAAAGCAGGACTATACCAGGACTATACCAGGACTAAAGCAGGACTATACCAGGACTATACCAGGACTATACCAGGACTATACCAGGACTAAAGCAGGACTATACCAGGACTAAAGCAGGACTATACCAGACTAAAGCAGGACTATACTAAAGCAGGACTAGAACAAGGACTAAGGCAGGACTAAAGCAGGACTATACCAGGACTATACCAGGACTAAGCAGGACTATACTAGAACTAAAGCAGGACTAGAACAAGGACTAAGGCAGGACTAAAGCAGGATTAGAACAGGAACTAAATCAAGACTATGTCAGGTGACAGGTCTAAACCAGGACTATGTCAGGTCTAACCCAGGATTTAACCAGAACTATGCCAGGTCTAATTCAGGATTTAACCAGGACTATATCAGGTCTAACTCAGGATTTAACCAGGACTATGTCAGGTCTAACCCAGGACTTAACAAAGACTATGTCACATCTAACTCAAGATTTAACCAGAACTATGCCAGGTCTAAAACAGGATTTAACCAGGACTAAAGCGGGACTAGAACAGGAACTAAAGCAGGACCATGTCAGGTGACAGATCCAGGGCTATGCCAGGTCTAACCCAGGATTTAATCAGGACTATACCGAGTCTAACTCAGGATTTAATCAGAACTATACCAAGTGAACCCAGAATTTGACCAGGAATATGCCAGGTCTAACCCAGGATCTAACCAGGACTATGTCTGGTCTAACTCAGGATTTAACCAGGACTATGCCAGGTCTAACCCAGGACTTAATCAGGACTATGTCATATCTAACCCAGGACTTAACCAGGACTATACCAGTTCTAACCCAGGACTTAACCAAGGACTATGTCAGGTCTAACCCAGGACTATATCAGGTCTAACCCAGGACTTGACCAGGAATGTCAGGTCTAGTCCAACAAGGTTCATCTGGACCTGACATAGTCCTGGTGAAATCCTGGGTTAGACCTGGCATAGTCCTGATTAAGTCCTGGGTTAGACCTGACTGGAAAAAAGAACCTAATCAAATCATTTAAAAATATATATACAGTGTTAAACGTTAGGTCTAACTTAGGATCTAACCAGGACTACGTCAGGTCTAACTGTGGACTTAACCAGTACTAAACTAAGTCCAACCTTGGCCAAGATTTCCCCAGGACTAGAAATACCCCAAGACTACAGTTATCTGGCTTTCATTATTAGAGCTATAATACTCCCTACAACAGAAGCAAAGCCTGGGCTGGGTTCAGTGAGGTATCACGCAGGATTAAACTAGATCTAAACCAGGACTACAGTGGGACTTCAGCTTATGTTTGGCTCAGTATAAGACGTGTTGGATGGGGTAGAGTGACGTCGTGCTGCTGCTGTTGTGGTGCTGAGAGGGCATATGTACAGATCCACAAGAGCTCTGAGTGCAGTCTGTATACCACCGTGTCTCATTACTCTCTCTCTCTGTGTGTGTGTGTGTGTGTTTGTGTGTGTGTTTTGTGTGTGCAGAATACAGAGCAGCTACTCAGCCCTGCAGAGGATCAACCAGGACCTGGAGGAGAAGATCCACAGAGATGTAAGTCAATAAAACGTATCAGCCATTATTGTAATCTGAGTTTCAAGTCAGATCGGTGTTCGTTACGTCGAGTTTCACTTTCAGAACTGAAGGAGGGAACAGTTTTCATCATGCACTGTCTGTCAAAAGTTTGGGCCACAGGTTCTTATTCACTAGTTTGGTCTATTTTTTTATGTTTATTACCTCCGCCGGCGTTTGTCTGTTTGTTTGTTTGTTTGTTTGTCTGTTAGCAACATAACTCAAAAAGTTATGGACCGATTTTGATGAAATTTTCAGGATTTGTTGGAAATGTGAAAAGGAAGAACTGATTTCATTTTGGGGGTGATCCGGAAGAAATCCTGGATTCTGGATCACTTTGAAATTTTAGTTAACATTGTGGTAAATGGGGCCAAAAATTTTGTTTCTCAATATCTCGGTTAATTATTGACCAAACCCCATGAAATTTGACTCAGGGATGGACAATGGGATCCTCTTTCATATTCCAAAGGCTGATCCGGATCTGATCCAGAAGACTGATTTTATTGCAATTTATATAAAAAAATGGGGGTAGTCCTTGGCGGAGGTCTGCGCTCTCTGAGTGCTTTTCTAGTTTGTTTGTTTGTTTGTTTGTTTGTTTTTTAGCAACATAACTCAAAAAGTTATGGACCAATTTTGATGGAATTTTCAGGATTTGTTGGAAATGTGAAAAGGAAGAATTGATTTCATTTTGGGGGTGATCCGGAAGAAATCCTGGATTCTGGATCACTTTGAAATTTTAGTTAACATTGTGGTAAATGGGGCCAAAAATTTTGTTTCTCAATATCTCGGTTAATTATTGACCAAACCCCATGAAATTTGACTCAGGGATGGACAATGGGATCCTCTTTCATATTCCAAAGGCTGATCCGGATCTGATCCAGAAGACTGAGTTTATCGCAATTTATATAAAAAATGAGGGTAGTCCTTGGCGGAGGTCTGCGCTCTCTGAGTGCTTTTCTAGTTGTCTATACTTCATTCTTAAAGTGATAAAACAATAAATATTCATCCATTTTCTTACACTTTATCTGGGGCTGGGTCACGGGGACAGTAGTCTGAGCAGGGAGGCCCAAACTTCCCTCTCCACACACACTTCTGGGCCGTTCCCAGGCCAGCCCAGAGACATAGGCCCATCCACACTTGTACGTATTTGAGTCGTTTTTGTTTCGGATGCAGTGTTCGTCCACACTAATTCGATGGAAAACGGCTCCAGAAACGGAACGATCTGGTGTCGCCAACTCCCACGAATTCATCTGAGTACAGATCTAAGTCCAACTGGTCCAGTCCTGGTCCAATCCTGGGATCAATCTTGGTTCAGTCCTGGGATCAGTCCTAGTTTAATCATGGTTCAGTCCTGGTTTAGTTTGGTTTTAGTTCTAGCTCAGTCCTGGTTTTAGTCCACCTGGTTCAGTCGTGGGATCAGTCCTGGTTTAGTCCTGGTTTAGTCCTTCTGGTTCAGACCTGGTTCAGTCCTAGGATTAGTCCTGTTCAGTCCCGGTTCAGTTCTGGATTAGTTTTGTTTTAGTCCTAGTTCAATCCTGGTTCAGTCCTGGGATCAGTCCTGGTTTAATCCTGGTTCAGTTCTGGTTCAGTCCTGGTTTAGTCCTGTTTCAGTCCTGGGATCAGTCCTGGTTCAGTTCTGGTTTACTCCTGGTTTAGTCCTGTTTTAGTCCTAGCTCAATCCTTGGATAAATCATGGTTTAATCCTGTTTTAGTCCTGGGATTAGTCCTGGTTTAGTTCTGGTTTAGTCCTGATTTAGTCCTGGTTTTAGTCCAGGGATCAGTCCTGGTTCAGTCCTGGGATCAGTCCTGGTTTAGTTCAGGAATCAGCACTGGTTCGGTTCTTGTTTAGTCCTGTGTTAGCCCTGTTTTAGTCCTCGCTCAGTCCTGGTTTAGTCCTCCTGGTTGAGTCCTGGGATCAATCTTGGTTTAGTCCTGGATCAGTTCTGGTTCAGTCCGGTTTTAGTCCTGGGATCAGTCCATATCTCCAGTTTTTATTACAGATCAAAACTGTCAAAATCTGATGAAACTGTAAAAACACAAAATCAAAAACTGAAAAAAACTAATCGTTATCTATTTTTCATTTTGGTTTGGAGACAAATAATTAAGATTTTTTATTTTTTGTATTTTTTAACTTTTGATTTTAATCTGAAAAACGAATGAACGAACGATGAACCTGGCCTCTCCTAAAACAGACAGGAGGTTTGTCAGCGTAGCAAACAGGAGCGGTCTGGAGCTGATCTGAATATGAAAGGCGAGCTGGTGGTGCCATTGACGCTAATTACAGCCTGTTCCGCCCCACTGTCCTCCTCCGAGCGCGCCGCGGTAGCCCGAGCTTTGTTCTCCAGTCCGGCGCACCTCGCTTCATTTGTGTCACGCCGGATAACACACAATTAGCTGTCTTGTCTGCTAACACATCAGGCGACGCGGATCTTGAATAGAGCGCTAAAGCTAATGATAGTCGTTGTTAGCGCGGTTGTTTTGCTGGCGATGCTAAAGGGGCGATGTGAGGCACAGGTGATGGAAGGATACGTAAGGTCACCTGGGAGAATTGTACTTTAAAGAACTGAAAATATAGGTTTGTGTTTTAGTTTATGTACAGGAATATTAAAGGGTTCAGATGACGCTATTTTCTTAGCTATGTTATAATGTTTACATGTCAGAAACAGACCTGGAGTTGAGTTTTGTTTCATTCACACATATTTGAGTAATCTTTTATTATTAGTCTGTCTACTAGCCTGATTCATTAGACGGTTTCACGGTTTCACTTGTGGAAACCGTTTGACCTCGCAGCATTAGGATTTGTTCGCTCAACAGTAGGCGGGTACTTTTTTTATTTAACCAGTCGCTGCTATTTGGTTGTGACGTATGTAATGCTCCAAATCTCTTAGGAAGAAGGACAATAACGGCTTTCCCCTTGATAAAATTCACCAAACATTCTCTTTGTTCTGGCTTTAAATCCTCGAGCTCAGGGAATTGTTGTCAACACAGAATGTCTGTCTTCATCTACATCAGGAGTGTCAAACATACGGCCCGGCGGCCGGATCCGGCCCTCCAAGACCTTTAATCTGGTGCTCGGCTGATTTTCTACTAAAATATTTTAATTATATTTTCTATTAAAATATTGGTCATTTTCTGCACTGCTTAGCACAGCAGCGTCTCCAGCGTCTCTGTACGTGGCCCCTCCCACCAGAGCAGCACAAATGAAGACTTGACTCTTTCCAAACGCTCTTAAAGGACGATCGTTTTGACTGTTGACCGTGACACCCTCATCAGAAAAATTTCAAAAATGAGAAAAGTGGAGCCGAGTGCAGGATTTTCCAAGAAAAAATGACTTATTCCTATTTACATACAAGTTCATGTTAAAACATTGTGTTGAAATTGCATTTTTCTTAAAGTTTCAGGTTGTTCATAATATTATAATATTTTGTAAAAGAAAGAGTTCATCAATTAAAAAAGATTTCTTTAATAGATTTGCGATTTCTCTGCACAAATATTTGAACTTATTGTTATTTTTGGGGTTTATATGTCATGAGTTTTCTGATCCGGCCCCTTTGGGATCAAAGTAGGTTATATACGGCCCCTGGACCAAAATGAGTTTGACACCCCTGGTCTACATCCATCTCGACGCTTTGTTTACTGTTGTGCTGTTCCACAAAAGGGACCCAGACAGACGCTTGAGTTTGACATCATTACTTCACAGCTCTTCACTGATTGGCTGGAACGCAGTCTACAACTTCCGGAGTTCTTGCAAACCGTCTAGTGTATTCTGATTTCTGACCTAGTCGCTGGAGAGAAATGTAATTGAGTGGCGGCACTAGGTGGCGTCAGCCTGGTTATCTGTCTACATCTCCAAAGCTCAAAATGCTCAGTTCCACCTTGTGATGACATGAAGTGGTAGTTTTCAAGTTAACAGCAACGTTTTACCTTTTGTTCATTAGAGATTGGCAATTCTAGAAATGATCCAAATGAATCTAGTGAAGGTGTATGGACTTTAAAAACACAGTGAGACTTTTCCTGTATTACCACGTGACATCACAAGGTGGAACAGAGTGAAGAACTGTTTACACGAGAACACTTACAGGTAAAAATGACAAAATATTTTATCAGAAGTGCCTTATGTTTAGACGGTGATGGCGTTTTTGGGGCTTAAAAATGCAAAAATCTGAAACCACCCTCTAGAGTGGAAAAGTTGAATACGCTCCGCCGTTGCGTTTCCGTCTACACTGCCCAAGACGCAAAACTCTGGTCAGATCTGCTCAGGTCTCATACGTGTTTACGTCACATACATAACCGCCGAGCTACCTGGCATGCATACACAATCGATTTCCACACATTTTGCGTCACAGTATGAGCGCAGATTTCCTCCTGAAAACGCTCGTCTAAACGCAGAATAAAAAGTGACGACGCGACGCCACTTTTGCGTCTTCTGTTCATGTCGTCATCATTTAAACGTAGCCTAAATCTGCAGGGTTTGTGTGTTAAACGTGTTAATGAAACAAAACACAAGTCCAGGTCTGTTTGTGATGAGGAAACAACATTATAACATAGATCAGAAAATAGCGTAATATGAGCTCCATACACTTTCAATAAAATCGCCCTGGAACTGCCAATTTCTACTGAACTTAAAAGGTAAAATGTAGCTGTTGTAACTTGAAAACTACAGCTTCATAACATCACAAGGTGGAACAGAGCATTTTGAGCTTTGGGGATGTGGATAATAAAGGATTAGTTAAACATGTGGGAACCAAACAAAACACAACTCCAAGTCTGTTTATGAGGAGGAAACAAAATTATAACATGTCTTAAAGCTCAATTAGTGTCTCATAGGACCTTTAATGCTATACTGCAGAACATTCCAATGCAGTAACGTCTCCATGGAGATACAGTTACTACCCTTCACCAGAAAAAGTTACGCACGCAAGAACTATCCCCTGTGAATCTATAGGAGCACTGTGAATGAAATTGCAAGACAAATCTCCATACTTAAGCTCCTCTGCGGTGGAAATATAACTGTGTTGAGAGCGGTTCGCTACACGAGGGAAATATGGCAGTTTAATATAGTGGAGATCTTGTCAAAACATTTGTGCGCCAAGTTCTGTGCACAAAGAAGTGTGGTGCAGAGCCGAGAGCAGACACAAGCAAACTGGGGCCTGGTAACCAATAGTAACGAAAGAAACGCATCCTTTTTCTCAGCTGCCTCTTCAACCGGGCTTTGTGAGAGAAGTTGTGTCTTTGCAACTAAAAATCGACCAAGATTTCCATGTTTAATGTTTTTATATTGTGTTGATTTTGAAGTGAAGCACTTTGGTTACCTTGAGTGTTATAAAGGACTCTGTAAATAAAGTTAGATTTGTTGGATTTCACAGTTGTGCTAATATATTTAGACTATATTGAACTTATATTGAAAGTTTATATATATGGTACTTATATTGCATGCAGCATGTAAATAGACTGTATATATAATTGGACATTTATATGTACAGAGTCGGCTTCATCGACAAATTGCAAAATCTATCAATAGTTTCGAGGTGTGATTAGTTGAGATGAGGGCCTTAAGGTAGCTGGCTATGGTTATGGTTATGGTAGAATAAATAGGAGCTGCAGTTTATACATTCAAGAATCTATATTACACTATTTTCTAGGGATGTAACAATATCTAAATCTCACAGTACAATATTTTCACGATATACATCTCACAGTTCTACGTCGCCACAGCCACATGCTGTGTCCACAGACCAGGTCGTTGAGACACCCGTCTCCGACTGCTGCCCAGTCCTCTGTGAACACGACCCCTATGAACCCCTCTGCGGGTGGTGAGCCCACAGGAGGGTGGACCCACGTCGTCCATTCGAGCTGAGCCCGGTCAGGCCCCGTGGGCGAAGGCCCGGCCACCAGGCGCTCGCATTCGAGCCCCAACCCCAGGCCTGGCTCCAGGGTGGGACCCTGGCTGCGCCATACCGGGCGACGTAACGGTAACGGGTATTTTACTGTTCATGTGGGTTCTGTGAACTGCTCTTCGTCTGACCCATCACAGGACCTGTTTGCCATGGGAGACCCTACCAGGGGCATGATGCCCCTGGCAGCATAGCTCCTAGGATCATTCGGGTACACAAACTCTCCCACCACGGTAAGGTGGCAGTTCAGGGGGGTTCAGTTCAGTTCCTCCGCAGGGTGGCTGGGTGCTTCCTTAGAGATTGGGTGAGGAGCTCAGTCACACGGGAGGATCTCGGCATAGAGCCGCTGCTCCTCCACGTCGAGAGGAGCCAGTTGAGGTGGCTCGGGCATCTGTTCCGGATGCCTCCTGGACGCCTCTCTGGAGAGGTGTTCCGGGCATGTCCCACCAGGAGGAGGCCCCGGGGAAGACCCAGAACACTCTGGAGGGACTATGTCTCTCGGCTGTCCTGGGAACACCTCAGGATCCCCCCGGAGGAGCTGGAGCAAGTGTGTGGAGAGGGAAGTCTGGACCTCCCTGCTCAGACTACTGCCCCCACGACCTGGCACCAGATAAAGCCAAAGAAAATGGATGGATGGCTCTACTGTGTTTTTAAAACTTCATACACATACACTAGAATCATTTAGATAATTTTTGTCCAATCTCTACTGAACTAAAGGTAAAAGGAGCTGTTAACTTGAAAAATACCACTACTTGACATCACTAGGTGGACCAAAGCATTTTAAGCTATGGAGATTTAAACAAACAATAAAGGATTACTAAAACATTTTAGGAATGAAACAAAACTCAACTCCAGCTATGTTTCTGATGAGGTAGCAACATACTCACATGGCTTAAACTTTAGAAGAGTCAATTTTCAGTGATGATGATCATGTTAACTTCAGTTTGTCAAATGTCTCTGTTTAGTTTTTTGTTTATTTCCTTCAGACGCAGCACCATGATGACGAGAAGAGAGCCCTGAGCCGAGAGATCATTGTCCTCAACAACCGTCTGGTGGAGGCCAAGCTCACCATCGAGAAGCTCCAGGAGGACAATGTAAGGATGTACTTTCTGATGTTTCCGATTCTGTTTGAATAGTTGGTTTTGTGAAGCAAGAGAAGTAAGAAAAAAGGTTCTAGTTAGTCCTATTTTATGTGCCTTGGGCCGAGGGTGAGAAGATGGGCACCACCTCATGAATATGCTGGAGACATATATGAAACGTACACTACCGATCAAAAGTTTGAACACACTTTTTCATTTAGTTTTCGTTTTTATTCACATTGTAGATTTTTTCTGCATCAACTTTAAACTATAAATGGCACATGAATGCAGTAAACAGAAATAAACTCAAAATAATTCTAAACTTCTTAGATTAAAACAAAAATAAATATCCACCCTTTGCGACTTTTGTCCATAGTTTGGGCATCCCTGGTCTAAGTAATAATAAAGCCACAGTATGTAACCTTTTTATTTAAAGAAAAAAAGAGATATAACATGTTGTTGTTGTTCCTTTGGCTATAATCTTCCACAGTATGGTGTAAAAAATATCTATTTCAATGGGTAATGTTCCAAAGAATGGCTGACTGTACACTGAAGGAAACAAAATCTAAGTTTGCAATTAGTTCTAAAGTTTCTCATTAGAGACCTATTTTCTGTAAAGCATCAACAGTGCAATAAACCCAAACAGATCACACGGAAGAACAGTGATTTGAACATTTCATCCTCTTAAATTTCATTGTCAGGCTCATTGTCGCTTTGTTATAACTCTGGATAGGCCTCATCATCACTTCTGTTGTCATGGTTACTGTGCCTCTAAGCAGCCTCAGTTGGACTACAAACCCGAAATTGGACATTGTCTTTGGGGAAGTGGACTTGTGAGCGTCGAAGCTTTCTTTCAACAAATCTTCTGGCAGTAACACAGATGGTGGAAAGACTGCTACAAAAGTCTGAGAAGAACAGAGAACAAAAAAGTAAAAAAACCGACGCCAAAAGAAACAACGGCAGGAGAGAGCGTTCGGTTGGAGTTGTGAACATCTGCTTTGGAGAAGTTGACCGGTCAAACTTAAGCAAATTTTCAACACTGAGCAAACACTGATCCATAAGACTTACCGTATTTTTCGGACTATAAGACGCACTTTTTTTCATGGTTTGGGTGTTTCCTGCGACTTATACTCCAGTGTGACTTATAAATTTAAATTTTCACACTGACAGTCACGAGAGGCTCTAGTCTTGTGTGTCTGTATCTACTACTATTATTATTACTCCTGTACCACTGTCACTTCACTCTACTGTGCATGTCTCCTGCAGAAAGAGCCTCTGTCCTGTCTGTATCATGCAAGTCGATCGCACCATTATTTTTGCACCACTGAACATTTTAAATTTAAACAAACTTATAAAGAAAACTGAGAAGATCGAACACAAATGCCCCCAAAAAGAAAATCATGTTCTGCAAGTAGTGAAATCTGCAGCCGAAAACGATAATGGAGCAGCAGAAAGAAAGTTTGGAGAGAGCGAGAAATTTGTGACACCGGGAGGATGCACCATGCAACTTTCCTGGAAATCATTGGATGGATGGACGAAGCCTGGACTTCAGTGACACCGAAACCATCCTGTCGGGATTCAGAAAGGCCGGAATAATTCTAACTGGAACTGATGCTGAGTCTGACGACAGCTACACAGAAGAGGAACCGGCGCTCTGTTTACCTCCGGAAGTCACAGAGTTGCTCAGAAGTGACACAGAGGATGAATTGAATGGATTTAGTGATTTGGAGTGAGATGGAGAGTTTGGTAAACCTGTTCTGTTCTGTTGTTTATGTTATAGTTTATCTGAAGAACTGTTCATATGATGTTAACAGTCTGTTGTTCTCTCTTCTATTGGTATTACTAGAACTTGTCTTTGAAGATGAAATGTTGGTTCCTGCTCTCTGATTTTATAAAATACATTTCCCCCCAAAAATGTGACTTATATATGTTTGTTTTTTCTTCTGATGCATTTTTTGGCTGGTGTGACATATTCTGGAGATTTATACTCCAAAAAATACAGTAAGTGGACCTTCTTGGGCGTCTAGAACTGATCTAGAACTGGTCTGAGTTGGTTGAAGTTGCCGTTTGATTCACCAGAAGTCCAGAGTCCAATGCAAACAAGATCTCAACACAAGTCAGGAGAATGGGTTTAAAGAAAAAAAAAAAAAAAAGAGGAGACATAATAAATAAGTTGAGAAATCATTCTTCAGTCTTTAGTCCAGAGACCTGTACTGACGCCAAGAGAGAAGATACACCTCCTGAGTGCATCTTTAATAAAACAGTATTACTTTTATGGATTTTATAATTATTAGAAAGAATTGATGTCTGTCGTAACGTTCTATTACATTTGCTCTCTGTTTTGTAGGACATGTACCGTAAGGACTGCAGTCTAGCGGCTCAGCTCCTGCAGTGCCGGGCCCAGCTGGATGAGGTAAAACACTATCACTCTTATTTACACAATCATGAAGATGTTTTTAGGGAACTATGACAATACCATGACTACTTTTTGTACTCTTTGGACGTCTATTACTGATACATTTACTTGGTTAATTCACTAACTGTGTGTTGAGTAAGTGCCATGGAAACTCCTAATACTCCTCTTGTAGATACTTTAGAGGGGCTCTACATGTATCTCTAATGGTGAAGTGTTTAGGAGTTACCATGGAGACGCAACGCACACATTAGCAAACACTGCCAAAAAGCTCTGAAACCTCGAGAAAAAACACAAAATGGAGTTAAACAGCACATTTTCAGGAATCTGTGATCAATACGAGTGTTCATGGTCTTGTTTATGTGCTTGATTTTCAACAAAAAACTGACTCACCAAGAGAGTCAAGCTGCTGCTGATGTACAGAGTGAAGGTTTGGCATCCGTTGGTTGGGAAGTGGAGCTCCAGTTTGTCACATTTTGTGTCAAAAAATGAAAAGACTGGTGGCAATTTATAAAAAGCTGGTAGCTATTGAATAACTGGTAGTAGATACGTGGTTAAGTTGGTTATGGTTAGGATTAGGGTTAGGGTTTGGGGTCCATCATCAGGAATTAAGTCCAACGGGATGGTGCTTCCCATCGGCTGCAGCCAGACCGTTCTCCAGACTAATATTAATACAGATATTCGGTGTGGTTGGTCTAATCTTGCACATATTTCCAATTCATTTCCGCTTCTCCGTGTTCGATAGAGTTTAAGAAAGCGAAAGTCCCCATCTTGCGGCATTTGCAGGCCTGAGCGGGACAAAATATCGCAGATGCAGGCGGGAGCGGAAATGAAAATTACAATTCTTTACAGGTGTAGGCTAACCTGATTCATCAGCCTTTTTCACTTCGTAGAAACCGTCTGACCTCGCAGTGTTAGAATTCGTTGACGGTAGGTGGGTACTTTTTATCATTTAACCAATCGCTGCTATTTGGTCATGACGTTGGTATATTAAGCTTTTCCCAAATCCTGTAGGATGAAGAGCAATAACGTCTTTCCCCTTGATAAAATTCACCAAACATTCTCTTTGTTCCGGCTTTAAATCCTCAATCTCGAGAATTGTTGCCAAAACAGAATGTACGGCTCTTTGCTGATTGGCTGGTGCCCGGACTCGCACTTCTGGGGTTCTTGCAAATCGTCTAGTGTATTTTGATTCCTGATGTAGTCGCTGGAAAGAAATAAAATTGAGTGGAGGCACTAGATGGCCCCAGTTTGACTAAGTGCGGGCGGGAGCAGGACTGAAAATTCTGTCCCACTTAGAACTCTAGAGCTGAGACGGAAAACAGCATTTAAGACAAAACTGGTCCACATGTGTTATGTTATTTTCTCTCAAAGAACTACAGAACAAGACTTTTTGGGCCGACTGCGACCATTTACTCTTATTTATAATTTATAATTCCAATCAGGATATTGACTGAACTGATATTCGGAAGCTGATATTCAATCCAGCAAAAAATTTCAATATTGGAGTCGAGATCTGATACCATTTTTAGATCGGAGACGATAGAGAGATGGTGATATCGAAATCCGGTTTGGGTCTTCTGAGGAGGCTTTTCCCCTCTTACCTGAATGAAAAACGGAATGAGAAAAAAAAAAAAGATGGGAGGGCGAGAAGAAAAGACAAGGCGATCACCTGAACCTCAGGTAACTAAACATATCTTCATATGATATTGACGTTGCTCACTTCTGTATCCAGGTCACTCGACTGGGCTCAGGTGGACAGTAGGAGTCTCTCATTATTGTACTTTTGGACTTCAAATATCACCGTGTTTGCTCCGTGTATTCAGACCTGACCCATTTCCTCTCACTATTCAGCCCCCGATCACAAACTCACACAAAGAATATTTTACACACTCATGAGCTTTTATTGTAGTTGCTTGGGCTAGAATGTTCCTCATTATGGCATTAAATGTATCTTTCTCCATGGAGACAAAATTCCAGGTCAGATCTGTAGCATGTATGTTTTTTGAGGTACTTTTACTGTTACTACTAGCCTACTACTACTACTTCTACAATGGCTACTACCATTGCTGCCATTATTACCACTTATTTCAGGTACTTTTATTACTACTACTACTACTACTACTACTGATGGTATTTACTATTACTATTCCTAGGCAAGGCAAGGCAAGTTTATTTGTATAGCACAATTCGTACACAAAGTAATTCAAAGTGCTTTACAGAATAAGAAATACATTAAAATCATAATAAAAACAAATCAAAACATAAATAATCATGAAGATTAAAATTAAAAAAGAGAGACATAAATTGGAGAGAAGAGTGCGGAATGAAAACCTTTCAGTTATATGCACAGTTAAACAGAAATGTTTTGAGCCTGGATTTAAACAGCGTCACAGAAGAGTCTGTCTCACATGTTCAGACTGTTCCAGGTTTTAGCTGCATGAACCTGAACGCTGACTCCCCTTGTTTAGTCGTGACTCTGGGCACCAGCAGGAGGCCGGTCCCTGAGGTCCTCAGAGTGTGAGATGGTTCATATGACACTAACATGTCACAGATGTACTTTGGTGCTCGGCCATGGAGAGACTTGTACAAGCAGAGCTGCTTTAAAGTCTATTCTCTGAGGCACAGGAGCCAGTGCAGAGACCTGAGCACAGGACTTATGTGCTCGTACTTCCTAGTTCGAGTAAGGACCCGAGCTGCAGCGTTCTGGATGTTCTGGATGTTCTGCAGCGTCTCACAGCTCGTTTGGAGAGACCAGTGAGCAGAACATTACAGTATCTAACCTACTGGAGACAAACGCATGGATAAGTTTCTCCAAGTCTGATTTAGACAGTAAACCTTTGATTTTTGCTATGTTTTTTAGATGGTAAAAGGCTGCAGATGTTATTGATTTGATGTGGCTGTTAAAGTTCAAGTCTGAGTCCATTATTACCCCTAGATTTCTTGCCTGATTTGAAGGTTTTAGAGAGAGAGACTGGAGGTGACTGCTGACACTGTCCCTTTGTTTCTGTGGACCAAACACTATGACTTCAGTCTTGTCAGAGTTTAGCTGGAGAAAGTTGTTTTGCATCCACACACTGATCTGTTGGATGCAGTGACCAAGTGACTCCACTGGTCCATAGTCTCCTGCTGCCAGAGAGACGTAGATCTGAGTGTCATCTGCATAATTGTGGTAGGACACGTTATTGCTGCTTATTAACTGGCCTAATGGCAGCATGTAGAGATTGAACAACAGGGGGCCCAGGATTGACCCCTGAGGCACCCCACAGGTCAGGGCCATGTGATCTGAGACACAGTTTCCAATTTCAACAAAATACTTCCTGTCTTCTAGATAGGACTTGAACCAGTTTAGTACAGAACCAGAGATGCCCACCCAGTCCTCTAGTCTCTGTAAGAGGATCCCATGATCCTACTACTCCTAATTTAACTACTACTAGTGTTACTACTTCTAATCTACTACTAATACTACTACGACTACTACTACTACTACTACCACTATTACTACTACTACTACTAGTACTAGTACTACTGATGGTATTTACTATTACTATTCCTACTACTCCTAATTTTACTACTACTAGTGTTACTACTTCTAATCTACTACTACTACTACTACTACTACTACTACTAGTACTAGTACTACTGATGGTATTTACTATTACTATTCCTACTACCCCTAATTTTAGTACTACTAGTGTTACTACTTCTAATCTACTACTACTACTACTAGTAGTACTACTACTGATGGCATTTACTATTACTACTTCCTACTTTACTTTAGGTTTTATTTAAAGATTCATGTAATAAATCCGGCTCGGTTCAGAATAAGAATATTGTGGACTGGGCTGTAAGACGATAAACACTGAGCGGTGGTTTGCAGTGGACAGCAGGTTTGCCATTGATGAGACGTTACCGTGGCAACCGGAGCGTATCCCTGCAGGCGCAGAGAAGCCTCACACCTCCGTGCTCCCTGTTATGTGGACCCTTTAGTGTTTGGTGTAAATAATATGGGCCTGTTCGCAAAGGCGGTGTCACAGAAGCTAGCAAGTCACAATGCATTTTCTATGGAGGAATTAGCATTAGCGTCGCGATGTCAACAACAACAACAACAACAACGACGACGACGACGGCAGCAGCAACGGAGCGAGACTGACTCAAAAACAACACAGCACGATTTCAGTTTTGTTTCATTCACACATGTTTAACACGTCTGAGTTCTTCTATCACAAAACACTATGTTCCACCTTGTGATGTCATGTGGTTATACAGGATGTGCTCCACTGTGTTTTTAAACTTCTTACGCCTTCACTAGAATTAAATCAACTTACCTGGCTCCAGATTTGTTCCTATAACTTCTAGCCTTGGTGAGCTTGCAACAGAGGATAGATATGTATTGTATTTTTCAGACTATAAGCCAAAAAATTAGTAATGAAGAAGAAAAAAGCATATTTAAGTTGCACTGACAATCACCGACAGTAATAACGACAGACTAGAGAACAGCAGGCTTACCAATCTCTCCATCTCACTCCAAATCACTAAATCCATTCAATTCTTCATCCTCGGTGTCACTTCTGAGCAACTCCAGAGGTAAACAGAGCGCCGCTTCCTCTTCTGTGTCGCTGTCGTCAGACTCAGCATCAGTTCCCGTTAGAATTATTCTGGCCTTTCTGAATCCCGACAGGATGGTTTCGGTGTCACTGAAGTTCAGCCTTTGTCGTCCAGTGACTTCCAGGAGAGTTGCATGGTGCATCCTCCCGGTGTCACAAGTTTCTCGCTCACTCCAAACTTTCTTTCTGCTGCTCGATTACTGTTTTCAGCTGCAGATTTCGCTACTTGTAACTTGTAATCTGCAAAATCTAATTTTCTTTTCGGGTGCATTTGTGTTCAGTCTTCTCAGTCGTGTTTATAGGCGAGTTTCATTGTTGACAAAAGCGAGCGTTGCATGCTGGGAATTATTTTGGTCGGCGGCAATAAACACTAATTCAACATGACGGACGGAG